CACAAAATAAAGAGCTTGCCAGGAAAACCCTGAACACCCGAGCCTCCATCCACGAAAAGTTCCGTAGCCGCCGCCATCGTCAACCCTAGTTCGGGAGGGTTCTGAAGCTCTCCCCGGCACCCTGCAGGAGGGAAATCATCACCAGAGGCCTTCTTCATCATCATGCCTGCCTCCGGAGTGATGCGTGAGTAGTTCATCTTTGGTCTACGGGTCCATAGCAGTAGCTAGATGGTTGTCTTCTCCTCCTTTGTGCCATCATGTTTAGATCTTGTGAGCTGCCTAACATGATCAAGATCATATTATTGTAATGCTACATGTTGTGTTTGCTGGGATCCGATGAATATTGAATGCTATGTCAAGTTGATTATAGATTTATTTTATATGTTATTTATGATCTTGCATGCTCTCCGTTACTAGTAGCTACTCTGGCCAAGTTGATGTTAGTAACTCCAAGAGGGGGTATTTATGATCGATAGTGGGTTCATGTCTCCAGTAATCTGGGGGAGTGTGAGCAACCTCTAAGATTGTGGATGTGTTGTTGCCACTAGGGATAAAACAACAATACTTTGTCTAAGGATGATCCTATTGTTTACATTACACACTTTACTTAATACAATTATCTGTTGCTTGCAATTTAATACCCAAGGTATGTTCAGAGGATATTCCGCGGGTGGATTATTAGTCATAGATGCAGTTGGATGACGGTCTATGTATCTTGTCGTAATGCCCAAATAAATCTCATAGTAATCATCATGTCATGCATGTGCACTACAGTGCAGCCAATATTTTGTCAATTGCCCAGCTGTAATTTGTTCACCCAACATGTTATTTAGCTGCTATGGAGAAGACACCATCTAGTGAACTGTGGATCCCGGTCCATTCTTTACATCGATAATACAACCAACCGCAAACACCGTCACTACTAGGGAAAACCCAAGTAGTAGCGCTTGTAATGTGCATAGCAGTAGCGCTGGTACCAGCGCTACTGCTATCACGCTACAGCTAACATGTAGCAATAGCGCTGTCTGACAGCGCTACTGCTATACCTAGTTAGCACTAGCGCGGGTGCTTGAAAAGCGCTGCTGATAGTAGTAAGTAGCAGTAGCGTTTTTTTAAAGCGCCACTGCTTTTTTTCCTGTATTTTTAAAATTGCTGCTTATTTTTGCTGTATTTGTATAGGTTTTATATACAGTATTTTCATCATATGATTTTATCACCAGTCATAGTCATAGTGTAACACATCATTATCTTCAAACTCGTTCTAGCTAGCTAATCACCACCAACACTAGGTACGGTAGCTATCTAATCACCACCAACAGTAGCTAATAATAATCATCATAGTCATTATCACCAACACTAGTTATTTAATCATCATAGTCATAGTGTAGCACATCATCATCTTCAAACTCATTCTAGCTAGCTAATCACTCATGCTGCTCTCTCACAGGTAAAATAGCATATAACATGTATAACACTCCTACTTCATCATATTGGAGAATGCAGATGAATATGTCTCCTAATTGTGGGCTCCACTTTTGATTGCTGCCCCCTAGTACTTCTTTGCGATCATTCATAATTTTGTTCCAGTCGTTGACTATTAAGACTTGCTCTCTTTTAGAAATCCTGAATGCGCTAATGTGCATTGTAGGATGTCTTGGTCGTATGCTAACCATGGAGATGAGACCTTTAGCCTCGATCCACTGAGACACAACTATCATCGGGAGTCCCTGTTGAAGAACATCGTAATAACATACTTAGCAATGAAGTTTAGCTTAAAAAATAGAGATAAGTATATTTTTCGTCCCTCAACTCTCTCGAAAATATAGAAATCGTCCCTCAACTTCGAAACCGGTAAAAGTTAGTCCCTCAACTTCTCAAACCGGATAACTTTAGTCCCTCGGGTGGTTTCGTTGATGATGTGGCATGGTTTTGACCCTAGTATTCAGAGTTGACTATCACCTCTTTTTCGTTCTATTTTCCCACACAATAGGCATTTCATCGAATAGTTGATGTGCACATTCTGGCTCGTGGGCTCCTGCCACCTGCGCTCGTGGGCTACTTGCTGCTGTTGCCAACTTAGATCGGGATATTGGAGAGACATGGAGAGGTGGGAGGAGCTCGCGGTGGCCGGTGGCTACACGGCCCTCGTCGTAGCTTGAACCTTGAGCAGGAGGGGGGCCGACACCGGCTCTTTTCCTCCTCCACACCAATGCCAGGCACGGGTCCATGGCGCATTCTTGGCGTCTTGATCCAGCGGTAGCCTCTCGTACGTGGTGTTGCTGGACGTGGCTGCAATCATCATGACAGGGCCAGAGCCCGAACGCGGACAGCTCTCCCATCACGGTACGCGGCGAGCCCCGTTGTTCCAGGAGACGCCGGAGCCGGACAGGGACAGTATCTCAAACCGGCCGGTAGGACGACGGCGGCCGCCCCCGTCCACGCGGGCTCCAATCGTGAATGCATCTGTTACTTGTGTACTTCTAGCCGGGACGCGTCCTTTCCGGCAAGGTGCACGGCTAGCTCGATTTCTTTCCGAGCTAGGTACCGCAGTACACGCTACACGAAGAGAGATGCATACGTACACAAGCAAC